TGAGAGAAAGAAAGAGGGGGGGGGCTGGGGACAACTCTGTGAAAACAAAGCCAAGACACCAATACACACGTCGGGTCCCGAACTCGGAGACTCACCCAGGCGGCCTTGTGTCCGGTATTTCTCTGCTCAAAGACAGCCAATCGCTGGCCGTCACGTTGTACGAGTAGAGGTCAAACCCGTCGTTTTTCAGGCGCTTGTGGCCGCTGGTGTCTGCCTGTTGTACATCCCGCCCTGGGCCGCTAAGCAAACTGTTGCTAGGCCCAGACGCTGAAAGCCAGTCCAGCGCTCCCGACACAGGGGGCTTAATGAAAGCAGGATTGATTGCCCTCCCCTGTTGGTCTCCTATATCGCTCGATTTCCTCGGTGTACTCACCCCCACGGCTGATGTTGATTCATTGCGTGCTTTTGCGTGAGAACTTAGAGAGGGAGCCGACCTTTCCCCCTCTCCGTTACTTTTGTCTTTCTCTACTCCAGGAAAAGAATAGGTCTGAGCGGGATATTTAACACCCAGCCACATTTGCCGGGCTGCTGGCTCCCCGATCTGATCGATGGTCGCCGTGGGCGAGAATCCCGTGTTGCGTTTTGGGACATCCATTTGCATGGCAATTCCCCGTTCTAGATTTGATTTGCGACCCTGGTCTTTCAGTGTCTGTGTGCGGGAGGTTTTGTCTAAATTTGCTAGAGGACTTGTTGGATATTGGTTACTACTCGCTGTAAAACGTGTCTGAGACTTACGAGTTCTCTCCCCAGCCTCATTTTCGCGAGTTGTGCTCGGCTCATCACTATTGAAAAGTGTATTGATTGCCTGGTCCGAGCCCCTGTCGTAAAGAGCGGTCTGTCGATTGTGCAGTTCCGCACCGGCCGGGGATAAACGCTTCCCTATAGATTTTCCTCGTCCGAGTAATCCGTACGTCCCTGAACCAGTGCCTGTTTCCTCGCCCTCTGATCCTGGTTTACGAGGCTCTGTGAGGGAGCTGAGGAAGGAATTTCTCGCACGTGATGAAACGAAGCGATCCTGTTGAGATTCTTGTCTCGCTGCCTTCAACCCTTGCCCTGGAATGTTCAGCTCGGGCGGATTCTGTCCCATCTTAGGGGTCCAATTTGAGCGCAAATCCCCGAGATCCTGGGAGAGCTCCCTAGCTGTCCCCGCGATGGCCATCTCAGAGGTATCGTGGGTATCGATCTGAGCGGGTGTACTCACGCCCGCCGCTGCCGCCACGCTCGGCTCTCCGTCCTGCTCATCTCTCTCGGAGCGCGCGGACAGACTTTCTAATCCCTCCATCTCGCCGGCTTTAATCCCCTGGATGCGGCGCCCGCCTATTATCCCATTCTCCAGGACGGCCGATGTGTCCTGGTCCCGTGCGTCCGGCCCAGGGACCCAGCGCGCCTCGCCACCGGGAGGAGGGAACCTCAACTCATTACGTGGCCCTGATCTGGCATCATTGCGTCCCAGGCTGAGGGAGTCACGCTCCCATTCCTTGTTTGTCGGAGACAATCTCAACACCGACGCGGCGGATCTGCTCAAATCATCGGGTCGTAAGAAATTATTGCGGGCATCGCTGATAGCAACAGTAGGCCGCCCGCCGTCCGACACGGTGTTAATGACGGTGATTAGACAGATCCACAGACACAGGAATACCAGGGCCGTGGTCAATGTCCGGCACTTCCTGATGACGCAGAGTAGCCACAGCTTGACCCCCATCCCCCAGACCCGGTGTGCGGGGAGGCTGGGAGGATGGGGCATCGGTCTGGCGCTCAGGTCCTGGGGACAGATGGCGCGCTTTTATCACAAATCAGTGACGTCATCCTGCCGTTGTCCGCCCGTCATGGGATATTTAAATCTGAACAGAGGACGTCATGGTTCTATCCAGACGTTCTAATCAAGATTTCGCGACTGACAGGGGACCTGTCATTTAAATATTGCGATCATTAAATCCAACAGAAAGAAATCTTAACACTTCCACGTCACAGACGTACACAAAATTTCCAATTTCTCCAGCATCCAGGAATAAATCTTCGAAGACACAAATCTCCCGACGTCTTTCCCAGATGTATTCGGTGTCACAGCAGACGACACACTAGCTGATGACGTCTGATCTCCGTACTCTCGTCCCTGCCTACAAAGCTCTAGACCCCGCTCTCAAACGACAACACAACGCACTGACAAATTATTCAGAGCACAACGTCGACCCGCGCTCGAGAAAAAAGAACTGGGAGTGAGTGCTCTAATTATTCCCCCTGAGCCAAGAGCGAGAAAGAGCGAAGGAAAAAACGAGCACTTTCCTTGTCCTGAACAACGATGTTTACGCAATGGCCTCCATTGATTGCGTTTTCCAATATGCTACAACGTTTTCTGGGACTTCCCGTTTCTGAGGGTGCTTATTACCTCGACAGAATGAAGCGCAGGAGAGCGACTCTTTGCGCGAGCAGCCTCGCCACTGCTCACTCGCTCTTTGTCCGGGTCTGTCTCAAACTCGCAGACAAGATTCCTGTGTCCTGTCGATGTCTTCGGCATGAGTGACAGACAAATTACGACTCACGTTGTCGCTGAGAATTAAATACTGTCTTCAGACAGACGTCGAAGGTCTCTGTCAGACACGGTCGTCATGTGAAGAACATCTGGGGATAGAGGGAAAAAAGACGTGAGGAAAAAGTCAAAAATTGTTGAAGAGAAGGCAATGAATGTACAATGTTGAAAATCCATTGCTTTGGACACAAATTTCATGTTTTTCTTTTTTTGCTTGCTGGAATAATAGAAGTAGGAGAGGGTATATGGTTGGGGGGGGGGGAATAGGGTGAAAAGATAAGGAAAGACCACCACCATCCCGCCCCCGTCTTTCCCAATAGTACAGGAGACTAAGAGAACGCAAAAAGAAGCTCCTGAAATCTGAGGAGAGAGAGAGGAGGGATAGCGGGAAAGATAAAAGGAAAGGGGTGAGAGAGAGGAAGATAGAGGGAAGGAGAGAGTAGGGGTAGCATCGGGGATCAAGAGATGTGTTGAGGGAGAGAGAGAGGGAGGTAAGAGAGAGAGAGAGGGAGAGAGAGAGAGAGAGAGAGAGAGAGAGAGAGGTCCTAAGATCAAGAGGGAGTGAGAGAGAGAGAGAGACAGACAGACAGACAGACAGACAGACAGACAGACAGACAGACAGAGACAGAGACAGAGACATACAGGAGAGAAAGACAGAGAGAGAGAGA